TGGAACTTTAATTTGAACCGAAAATCTTGAAATTGATAAAAAAGTGTCGGAGATAGGTTTTCCTAGTCCATGACCCAATTAATTTATGGGGGGAGGAACCCGACCTGGTCACGTTACGGGTTTCACAATATACAAATAGAAGTCTAGATTCACCCTGTTCACCAACAGCTATTTAAATCTAACTCTATCGGAGAATGGTTGTCGAGGAATTATATCTCTTAATTAAAAAAAAAAAAAAAAAGAAACAAATAACATGTTTATTTGTTTTGAGAAGTGCGATACTTAGTCAAGTATCGCTACTTTTTAATTTTAGACTATGATCACTACATCGATAGTTTATAAGGTCATATGGTCCATTAAAGAGTTTTTTGCCTAATACAGTAATACATGGTCTTTCTATTCTTTTATTTCTTTTTGGGGGTTTTCAGAAATCAAATACCTATATCACATCAAGAGTGCAAAATACCCGACGTGGTTTTAAAATATCGATGATTATCATCTGAACATTAATTATTTTTTTACTTTTCGTTTGGTCCGTGTAAATAAAATTCGGTTTGATTGGCATAAAAAGCTACGCTGGTACAACTCCTTTTTTAGTAAGATTTTTTCGTGTGCACCCGAAGTTAATTAAACTTAATACAAAAATAGACATGATCAAGTTTGGAAAGCGCATATAAATGATCGAACCTTCATCTTCCACGTTTACTCTCAATCATGTCAAAACCGACTAAACTTTGTACCATATCAGATTATGAAAGTTTTATTGACAAATTTGATACATTCTTGATTGATTGTGATGGTATACTGATCAAAAAGTTTTCTTTAATGTTTTTATCGATATTTATTCTCTCATTAATTATATTAATATCTTGTAGGTGTTTTATGGAAGGGCGATTATGTAATACCAGGTGTTTTAGAATCTTTATCATATATGAGAAAGAAAGGCAAATAAACTTAAAATTACATTTACAAAAATTCGTACTTTATATGACTTAATGTTAACTTTGTTCTATTTTATAGGTAAAAAAATTTTGTTCGTTACGAACAATAGTGCAAAATCTCGTGCTGATTATTTTAAAAAATTCAAGAACTTAAATATCGAAGCAAATGAGGTATTATAATGATTGCTAACCTCTCTTAATCTCTCTTAACTAGTGTTTGTAGTCGGATCGACTAACAGTCAATTGATGTCATTAACAAGTCATCAACTTAGTCAACTAAGTCATTTAGGGAATGTATTACATCGTATAATTAATATCATGGTTTAATCGTAAATTACTTTAGACGCAATACAGTGTTATTTTTTTTTAAAGACAATTACCTTATTATCCAATCATCATTTAAAAAATTCAAATATTATTTTCGCAGACAACAATCTAATCAACCAATAAAAACAGTGATGTAAAATTTTAAGGATAATTAGTTGACTAAGTCGATTATAAGACACTAAATCGACTAGATTGACTGACTGACTCAAGTTGACTACAAACACTAATCTCTTTAACCTTTTTTAACATATGACCTTACAATTAACAGGATGAGATATTCAGCTCTTCTTATGCATCTGCTTATTATCTCAAGAATATTCTAAAATTTCCCAAAGATAAGAAAATTTATGTTATTGGAGAATCAGGAATTGCCGATGAATTAGCTCTTGAAGGAATTCGTTATTGTGGCTTAAATGTAACTAACAATTATTTTAATTTTTTTCTATTCTTATTGATAGTTAGAATTTGTTTGGGAATTTATTTGTAGGATAATATCGTACAAGACCAACCTTTTACTCTTGAAGATATCACTCCAGATCCAGAGGTATTTCGATCAATTATTCTGTTATATCAGAAATATTTTTTGTCTGTTAATAATCAATGTTTGGTGTACAATTTTTTTTATTAGGTTGGCGCAGTTCTCTGTGGTATTGATCGTTATATAAATTACAGAAAACTAGCAAAGGCTTTATACTATTTAAATACGAATCCTGGCTGCATTTTTTTGTTAACTAATAATGATTCAACTTTTCCATTCCACGATCATGTTGCCCCGGGTAATAATATTAATTCTTTACGTCTTAATTGACACAATTAATACTTTTTATATTCACATTTTTTTAAAAAAAATAATTAGGTGCCGGTGCAATTGCTGCTCCGTTAATAACGTCACTGAATAGGGATCCGGATTGCATTGTGGGAAAACCAAATAAACCAATGATGGATTGTATTATCCAAAAATTTCATTTAAATATTGAACGTACTTGTATGATCGGTGATCGTTTAGAAACTGATATTAAATTTGGAATTAATGGTGGAATTACTACATTATTGGTATTAACAGGTACACATTATAATTTATAAACTTTATCATGTTTTCTTTTTTTATACCAACAAATTTATTTATATATTACATCTGATATTAGGTATTTCTTCAGAGAAGGATTTTCTTGGCAAAGATGTTCCCTTTCCCATTACTCCTGATTATTACATGTCTAGTCTTGGTGATTTCGCAAAACTTTGCTAATAGATAATATATTATTTAAATAATTATATATTAATTTATTATTATTATTAATACAATGGCGATTAATATTGATAAATAAATTATAGTATCGCTACAAAAATAGAAATTCCTCGTGATATGATTGTCGTGCTGGTTGTACCAATTAAAAATCGTACTACTTTATTCGACTTAAACATGTTCATTCCTCTTTTGTTTAAATATGATGTACTCTATTTTACCTAATGAGCTCGTTCTCCATATCCTTCGCTATGTTCTTAAAGGAACAAGGTATGATTGGAATAAATATATGGTATTATAGAATGATGAATCATTAAAACGTTTAAAAAAATCAACTACCAATTATGTTTGTGATGAAAAAAAAAAAATAGGTTTAACGATTTTAAAAAATTACGAAGAACTTGTAAACAATGGAATAACTTAGTTGCTGTTGCGATTAACGATGAAATATCTCAATCTTTTGAACATGGTTGGAAAATTTGTGTAGTTATAAGATTCCAGTCATTCTCTTTAATAACTTTTTATTTTTTTTTCTTCCGTAACTTTTTTTTTATAATCTATTATTCAGGTATTTTCATCATACCAACCACCAGGTCAAGATGTTGCATACGAAATAAGTCATCCAACTTACCGTTACAATAATTTAAAAGGGGAATTTGTATTTACTAAATTTCCTACAGATTATAAACCGATTATTTATTTACCTGTAGAAATTTGGTTAAATTTTGATATGTTTTGCGTATCTTCATTTTCAATTGAAATTCATGATTTATCAAAAAATGGAAATATTTCTCATTATATTGATCAATATTGGAGTATTAGTGTAGAATTTGTAGAATTTTTAGAAAATGATTTTCAATTTAAAATTCTTGATTGGAAAGTTAAGGACGAAAAAGTTTTTAAGGCTTTAACTACTTATCTAAATGTTTGTTTATCATAAATGTTTAATATTTAATACATTAGTATTATTTTTCATAAATTAAACTGATAAACCAAATTTTTAACATAAATATCAATTAATTTTATTTGACCAAAGACGGTGACGCGCGTCTTTAGTAAAGTTAATGATGCACGAATAGTCTCAAAACTTGCTTGCTCAAATAGAGTTAACCTATTGTTGATATTTATTGTAACTGTTCATTCTATTGTTTTGTTGTTCAAGTTAATGGTCAATTACTTGTTTAAGATTCTGTAAATAACGATTATACTGTTGTTGCTTGTACAGTGGCAATCATAAATAATGTAACAAAAAAATTTTTTTAGTTGGATCGTATTATCTCACGCAATTCCGAGTGTATCTGTTAGTTTTTTTTTTTATTTTATACGCAAATAGTGTCTTTTTCTAATCTTAGAATTTTAGTACCAATTATTATTGCAGATGTAAAAATAATCACATGTGTATCACGAAACACGTGTTGCATTATTTTTGCTCGTTTTTAACAAAGATCAGATGGCGTGATCTGTGCTATATAAATACATATAAAAATGTAAATTTCATTATTGATTATGCATGTTGTACAATGTTAGAACTGATTGATAATCAAGCTAAAAAAAAAAGAACTGTACTATTTCTGCCCAACGTGCCCAAATATTACTTTCACTTCAAAAAGGGTACACTACAAGAGCAATAGGTCAGGCCTACAATATTAGTTGCTCTACAGTTTCATTATCAAAAAAAGGTGGTTAGTAAACTGTTTACTTGAAGATTTAGGAAGAGTTGATTGTCTAATTTTGTTAGATGAACCAACCCAAAAAAGTATAGTGAATCTCATTACCTCTCATTACTGCTCTACTGCTATTGAAGTGGGAGCTCATCTCAAAATAAATGAAAACATTGAGATTTCAGTGTTTACAATTTACCATATATTTTGAAACCATGGTTTAGTATCAGAAGTTAAAAAAAAAAAACTCTACCTGAATGATGATCATTGAAAAAAGCAGCTCATTTTTGCAAAAAAATATAAAAATTAGACTATCGAAGACTAGTCAAAGGTAATCTGGTCTGATGAGTTATTATTCAAAATTTTTGAGTCAGATAGTAAATAATATTATTGGAAGCATTATGAGGAACTATTAAACTAGTTCTATGTTAAGCCCACAGTAAAATTTGGAGGTAGCTCTATTATTATTTGTGGTTGCTTTACTTGTTATAGTGTTAGCAGCTATTGCAAGATCAATAGTATGATGAATAGCAAGTTATATCGACAAGTACATTGCAAAGATTTGATGTGGACTATTAGGGATCACGAATTGGATATTAGAGAAATTATTTTCTAGTAAGATAGTATAACCTGTTATACAGCGACCTTAACAGATGTTGGCTTAAAAGAAATAGGATTAAGTTCTTTGATTAGCTCTTCCAATCCCCTGATCTTAATCAGATCAAGCACTTGTGGGTTAAAGTTAACAGTTGTCTTAGAGATCTTCCTAGTTAAATTTCAAGTAAAACAGACTTCTAGAAAAAAATTCAAATTGTCTAGCAAGCAATCAATATCGAAACCTATACAAGGTTAATTCATTCAATGCCAGAACAAATTCATGATATAATTAAAGCTTAGGGTGGTTATATCAGATAGTGAAAAAAATTATTAAATAGAAAAAAAATTTTTTTTTTTTTGATGTAAAAAATTTTTTTTTGTTTTACAGTTGTGTTGCTGTAAAAAATGAGCAAAAATAATGCAACACATTAATTGAAATAAAGCTCAGGCCTGTAAAAAATTTTGTTTATTAATTTTTTAAAAATTTTTTATTAATGAAAGTGATACTATTTACAATTAAAATAAAAAAAAACTAACAGATATACTCAGAATTGCATGTGATAATATGATTTAACTAAAAATTTTTTTTTGTTACATTACTTATGATTTTCATTGTAAAAATTGATCTATATATTCTTTTAGTTATTACTCATTAATAATAATATAATCATTAACTCTTATCTTATTATATCCTTCTGCTCTAATCTTTCATTTCTAATACTAGTTGATCCTCTACTATTATTATTTCCTAGTTCTGTATTAGATTTTTATTTTTTTTTGAACCAAAAATTTTTAAGCAGCTTAATAACATGTAGATATCTTTTACTTTTTTTCTTTAATTTATAAGTCCAACTGCAAAAGTTAGTAATCTAATTTCAGAAGAGTTATTCTTTTATTCATAGTATACATGAATTGATTACTTTATACAGAATATCACTTGATACTCACATACTTGTATATTCTTTATTCGCTATTGCATTTGGTTAGAATTAGTGATGCACTTTATTATATTTTGTTAGTTTACTATTTCTTGCAACACTTACATACTCTTGTGCTTTGTCTTTTTGATGCATTAGCTAGTTAACTAGCAAAAAAAATAATGTCTTAATTTTTTTTTTTGATAACACAGTTAATTAATTTTGATCAGTCAAAATTTTGCTTTTAATTTACTTGTATTTATAAACAATTTTAACATGAGTAATTGAATACTATAATATGCAATAAAGTTAAGAGTAATTAGATTGTTTCTATTTTTATATAAACTATGTAAACTCAATATAATTATATATCAAACTGACACAACTAGGATAGTCGCTGAGTTAATAATCATCACTTCACAATATTCTGTTTTTTTATTATGAAAAGAATTTGATTTGAAAAAATTTTTATATATGTATAACTAGGTGCTTGAAATTGTTTGAGGGGAGTTAGAAATAAGTGTTTCATATTATATTACTGTATACAAGTTTATTACATATCAGATATTAGATTTAGTAAAGTTTTTATATATAAACTGCCATTAATAGAAATAAGCAGATTAACATTTTAAAAAAAAATTGATACCTTAATTTTTAAAGCTCATATCTCAATAAATTTCTAAGCTATCATGATGATTTAGTAGTCAAAAGAAAGTTTAAACTTTTTTTAATTCATTAGATCCTTTTTTTGTAACTCTTTCTATAGATCACTTGTACCAAAACTTCTTGCAAACATTTGACTGTTTCTTAAAATTTTATTAGTAAACTACTTTTGGGCTCTAAATAAAGTTGTTCATAACAAAATTTTACTTCAAAACAGCTTAGTTTTAGTTTCCCCAGACCTTTATTTGTGGAGATATTAAATATATTTTATTTTTATAGTTTTTTCAAATTATCTTAAAATTTTATTAAATAAACTACTTCTGGATCTCTAAGTAAAGTTGTCAAGCATAAAATTTTACTTCTAGTAGTTCATTTTTATATCTTTCGAACTAAATTTTAATAAGATATTATTTATTTCTAGTTTACTTAGATTTTTTTAATTATCTAAAATATTACTAATTTAATAACTCTTGTTCATTAAAAGAGTTAGGTTCTTCTATATTAGAGCTTCATTTTGGTATAAATTTTATTCAAAATGGACCAAAACTCACAAAATTACTTCTAAAAACCTGTTTAAAGACTTTCTAAATACTCATAGATTACTTAGAATTTATCTGTAGCAATTTCAGAAATTTTACTGGCTTGCCTCAGATTTTTTACTATTTTTCCAACCTTAGGAGAATCCAGATCACAGGATTCTGCTCACAAGACTTGAAAAATTTACTGGCATTTAGGAAATTCTACTAAATTTTACTTTAAGCTCTATTTTCTATACCAATTTTTGTCTATTTTAATTAGTTTTTTCTACCTTTTTGAGAAGCTATCTTTGTTCTCATTTCTAATATAATATCAAAGCACTATACCTTATAATTTAATTTAAAAAACATGCCTACTCTTACTACAACTGATCCTGATACTATTAATTTTGATTACTTCTACTCTAAAAATGCTAATAGTTATAGGATTACTTTTGACGAAGAAAACCCAAGTAATACTCAGCCTATTTTTGCAAACTTTAGGCCAATAAATTGCATCACCAAAGCTCTTTGTGAAAATACCAAGACTACTCACTTTATTAAAGCTCTAAGCACTACTGCAATTTCCTTCTGTCTTTGTAATAAATATCATACTAATTTTATCACAGTTAGCAAAACTATTTTTAATTTAATGCCAACAAACTTTACAATATTTGCTGCAAGTGCTACTAACAAAAAAACTAAAACTGTTCTTGATAACTTAAACAAAATTATCTAATTTATTCCTCCTTCTTCTACTTCTATCTTCTATGAACATGTATGTCAAAAATGCTAGTTGGCTATTCAATGCAAAATCACAAATAACTAATATTACCTCTCAAATAATATGAAATTTGAACAAGGTAAAGCTATTTACTATAGCTGCACAATTGCAACTACCTCAGCTACCTCTAGTAGCTCTTCTATTGCAACAACATTATTACTAGGTGCTAAAAATTTTGACAATACAAGAAAAAATCTTATTTCTACTTTTAAACAAACTTTCTAATAAGCTAAACCTACACTCAACTCTACTACTACTCCAATATCATCTTCTAAACCTGCTAAACAAACTAATCTCTCAATTAGAGAACTTGCTACACAGAAATTAGCAAAACATGAGCAATCCTCAATTATTATATCTAATAAACCTACTAATCTCTCAAGCAAAACTCATACCTAATAAACTAACACAAATCCTATTCCAACTGCTACTCAACAAACTAATACAAATCCTACTCCAACTACTACTACTACTACAGTAACTACTACAAATACTCTTGTCTCCAATATTGATACAAACTAACAAACTATTAACAAAGAAAAAGCAAAAAATATTGAACAGCTTCAAAATACTAATACTGATCAAACTACTACTAAAAACTTAATTTGTGATTCGTCGATTAATGATAATCTATATATATTGATACTATATAAAGTATGGGGATAATAAACAAACAAATTTTATAATAAATTTAAAATCTGACAACCTTCATATTTTAAATGAGCAATTATAAAACACAAGTAGTTCAATTGCTTTCTTCAGGCTCTATTATTCAAGAATTACATTATATACCTTTTGCACGTAACTAGTGGATATTACGAACTCATAACAAACTAAACAATAGTTTACCAAGCTTATATCCAATTCGAATAGGTATGAAAACAAGTACTCGAATTAATAATAGAGAGTTTATTATAAGGGTTGTTCAACAAAATCAAAATAATAAAATAATACCTGGTTATATTTGTCAAACTCCTAGTTATATTTGTCCTCAAACTGGACAAGATTCTGGTTATATTAAAAATGATTCAAGTACTGCTATTACAAACTTCTATCGATTAATTTTTCCAAATAGTTGTACAAGATTCTCAGGTCCTTTAATAATGGGATTAGATAATGATAGTATTTTAAAAGAAATAATTTCAGATCTAACTTTTCAACCAGTTATTTTTTCATTAGGAAAGTTATGTATAATGATTCATACAATTAGTGTTTCTAAACATAAAGACTGGAATTGGGCTGGGTCCGGATATACTGCTTCGCTTACATATGGAAAAGATAATTTACTTTACTTACAAGGTTTTGAATATGATAAATGTTATATTCAAGTATATAATAATGAAGGTTTATTAAATACGGTTTATGGAAAAGACCCAAATGATGTATGGAAAAATTTTAATGTTTTGAAAAATTATAGTGGAATACAACTTTACGGGTTAGAGGAAAGTTTGACGGATAAACTATTACAACATGCAAGACAATTAGTTTGTTTATCTAATGAATGGTCTAATGAAAGTAAAATGAGACAATTATTTGATTTTCATTTACGCAAAAGAACTATGAGCAATATTGATTGGTATTCAATTTTTTGTGATTGGCAAAAATCTACTAATCCAATTATTGAGTTACATTATATATTAGCAAATATATATCCAGTAAACTATATATTTTCTGATCGAGAATTACATGCCTTGCATGTGATGTTAAAAGCATGCGGGTGTACTAAAATTACACCATTTAAAAAGAAAGAATCAAAGGTTAGATTAATTTATTATTAAATTAAATACATTATAATATTAACCAACCTTATTAATTTACTAGTATGAGTTTTGGAGTAAATCTAAAGACTGTACGAAGAAAAAGGAAATATTAGCTATGCTCTATAACCTTGGATTCTTACGTAGTATACTAATTACAATGTTTAATGCAACTGAAACTTTTTGGGAATGTTTTGCACTAAGTCTGGATAATAATAAAAAAGGATCTGATGGAAAGCGTAGAATTTTATCTATAATAGCCGATCAGTTTTCATATCAAGAATTACAAAACAAACTTCAAGTAATTAAAAAATAAATACTTATTGCTAGCACGATGTATTACTCATCAAATTATTATTAACCACTGTATACAGTACTTGGGGCCTTATTCAAGGACTTCATTTTTTAAATTGAATAGTACCCGTAGGTGCTGTATAAGGAACCGGGTACTATGTTTGGGGGATATATTATGAATAATAATAAATTCATACAGTTATACAGTCAGACCTCTATATAATCACCAAGTTGGTTACACCCTAATTTGGTGATTGTATAGAGGTGTGACTATAAA